TCCCTCTCTCCTGCTACGCCATCCCAGCTTTCTGCCTGGAACCCCTCGCCTCCCCTCTCCCTTTTTCGGGGCTTAAATTCCTCCATCTCCGCCGGGGTGGGCACTGCGGGTCAGGACAGGTGGTGAGTGCAAAGGGAAGGAAGTCCCTTTGTTCTAATAGCCTGCCTGCAGCAAGCTAAGGCTGCAGGCAAAGTGATTTCTGGATAGCAAGGGGCACTAATCCAGTAGAAGAAGACCCAGCGGAGGGAAGAGCCATTGGAGAGCATCTGAAGGAAGAGATGGGCAGGCGCCAAGGCAAGAATTCCTCCAACAATCTGAAAAACAACATGAAAACACCAGATTCCAGCGATCTTACGACAGAAGGACTTGAACGTCCTATTCCGGAAGAAGTGGAAAACAGTGTCATTATGAAAGCAATAGAGTCTCTTAAACAGGGTATGAATAACTCACGTAAAGAAATAGAAGAGAAATATAACAAAAAGATGGAAGAAATGAGTAAAGAAATGGAAGACAAATATAACAAAAAGTTTGAAGAAATGAGTAAATTCGTAAATGATACCGTGGGAAACCAAGAAAAAACAATCAAACAGGTAATGGAATCATTTCAAGAATTGAAAACTGAAATGGAGGCAGTGAAGAAAACACAAACCGAGAGCCGGCTGGATATGGAAAATCTAGGTAAACGAACGGAGACTACAGAATCAAGCATAATCAATAGAATACAAGAGATAGAAGAACGAATCTCAGATTATGAAGACACCATAGAGAAAATAAACGCCCTGACCAAAGAAAACAGCAAATCCAACAAATTCTCATCACAAAACATTCAGGAAATATGGGACACAATAAAAAAAAAAAAAACACATCTAAGAATAATAGGAGTAGAAGAAGGAGAAGAATTGCAGATCAAAGGTCCAGAAAATATATTCAAGAAAATTATAGAAGAAAACTTTCCCATCCTAAAGAGTGATATTCCTATGAAGGTGCAAGAAGCATACAGAACACCGAATAGACTGGATCAGAAAAAAAATCCCCTCGCCATATAATAATCAAAACACAAAGCAGTCAGATTAAAGAAAGGATATTAAGAGCTGCAAAGGAAAAAGGTAAAGTAACCTATAAAGGTAAACCTATCAGACTTACACCAGACTTCTCTATGGAAACCATGAAAGTCAGAAGGTCCTGGATAGAGTTACTGCAGAAACTAAGGGACCACGGATGCAAGCCCAGACTACTATACCCAGCCAAGCTTTCGTTCACTATCAACGGAGAAAACAAAATATTTCAGGATAAAAACAAATTTAAACAATATGTAACTACTAATCCAGCCTTACAGAGAATATTAGAAGGAAAATTACATCCCAAGGAATCCAACATTGCCAACACTGACTACAATAATTCAGACATCTAGCGAGCCTTCACTAGCACAATTCAAAGAAAGAAAACACATACACTCTATTACCCCCCCCAAGAAATGACTGAAGTCAACAACCAATAGTCATTAATATCTCTTAATATCAATGGACTCAATTCACCTATAAAAAGGCACAGACTTAGAGATTGAATACGAAAACAGGATCCAACATTCTACTGTTTACAAGAAACACACCTCAACCACAAAGACACTTACTCAGAGTAAAGGGTTGGGAAAAGGTTTTCCAAACAAATGGACCTAAGAAACAAGCGGGTGTGGCCATTCTAATATCTAACAAAATCGACTTCAAACTAAAATCAATCAGAAGAGATGGAGATGGACATTTCATACTCATAACAGGAACAACTCATCAGGAAGAAATCTCAATCCTGAATATCTATGCCCCTAATATGAAGGCACCCACATATGTAAAAGAAACTCTTCTAGAACTCAAGGCAGTCATCAAACCACACACGCTAATAGTAGGAGACTTCAACACTCCTCTCTCACCAATGGACAGGTCAATCAGACAGAAACCAAACAGAGAATTAAGAGATTTATTGGAGGTATTGAATCAAATGGACTTAACAGACATCTATAGAACACTCCACCCAAATAGGAAAAAATATACCTTCTTCTCTGCAGTTCATGGAACCTTCTCGAAGATTGACCACATACTCGGTAACAAAGCAAACTTCCACAGATACGAAAAAATATTAGTAACCACCTGTGTCTTGTCAGATCACAATGGATTAAAATTAGAATTCAACAACAACGCTACCCCCAGGGAGTCAACAAACTCATGGAAGTTGAACAGTCAACTACTAAATCACCCCTGGGTCAAGGATGAAATTAAGAAAGAAATTAAAGTCTTCCTTGAATTTAATGAAAACAAAGACGCAACATACTCAAACCTATGGGACACTATGAAAGCAGTGCTAAGAGGAAAGTTCATAGCAATAGGTGCCCAAATAAAGAAAACAGAGAAAGCACACATTGGAGACCTAACAGCACACTTGAAAGCTCTAGAAAAAAAAAGAAGCTGATTTACCCAGGAGGAGTAGAAGACTGGAAATAATCAAACTGAGGGCTGAAATCAACAAAATAGAAACAGAGAAAACAATCCAAAGAATCAATGAATCAAAAAGCTGGTTCTTGGAGAAAATCAACAAGATTGACAAACCCCTATCCAAACTAATCAAACGGCAGAGAGAGCACATGCAGATTAATAGGATCAGAAATGAAAAGGGGGATATAACCACAGACACAGAGGAAATTCAGAGAATCATTCGATCTTACTACGAAAGTTTATATGCCACAAAGTTGGAAAATGTAAAAGAAATGGACATTTTTTTAGATAAGTATCATATACCAAAGTTGAACCAAGAACAGGTGAACAATCTAAATAGACCTGTTAGTCGTGAAGAATTAGAAGCTGTTATCAGAAATCTCCCTGCCAAAAAAAGCCCAGGACCAGATGGTTTCAATGCAGAATTCTACCAGAACTTCCAGGAAGAGCTAATACCTATACTCCTTAATGTATTCCATAATATAGAAACAGAAGAGTCATTGCCAAACTCCTTTTATGAAGCTACAGTTACCTTAATACCAAAACCACACAAAGACACAACCAAGAAAGAGAATTACAGGCCAATCTCACTCATGAACATCGACGCGAAAATTCTCAATAAAATACTGGCAAACTGAATCCAGGAACACATTAGAAAAATTATCCATTATGATCAAGTAGGCTTCATCCCAGAGATGCAGGGATGGTTCAACATACGCAAATCTATCAATGTAATCCATTATATAAATAAACTGAAAGAAAAAAACCATATGATCATTTCATTGGATGCTGAAAAAGCATTTGACAAAATTCAACACCCATTTATGATAAAGGTGTTGGAAAGACTGGGGATACAGGATCATACCTAAATATAATAAAAGCAATATTCAGCAAGCCGACAGCTAACATCAAATTGAGTGGAGAGAAACTCAAAGCCTTTCCACTAAAATCAGGAACACGACAAGGCTGTACAATCTCTCCATACCTCTTCAATATAGTGCTTGAAGTTCTAGCTATAGTAATAAGACAACATAATGAGGTCAAGGGGATTCGAATTGGAAAGGATGAAGTTAAACTTTCGTTATTTGCTGAAGATATGATAGTGTACATAAATGACCCCAAAAACTCTACCAAAGAACTCCTACAGCTGATAAACACCTTTAGTAACGTGGCAGGATACAAGATCAACTCCAAAAAATCAGTGGCCCTCCTATACACAAAGGATGTAGAAGCAGAGAGGGAAATCAGAGAAACATCACCTTTCACGATAGCCACAAATAGCATAAAATATCTTGGGGTTACTCTAACTAAGGAAGTGAACGACCTATTTGACAAGAACTTTAAGTCTTTGAAGAAAGAAATTGAGGAGGATACCAGAAAATGGAAAGATCTCCCTTGTTCTTGGATTGGGAGGATCAACATAGTAAAAATGGCAATTCTACCAAAAGCAATCTATAGATTCAATGCAATCCCCATCAAAATCCCATCAAACTTCTTCACAGACCTTGAGAAAACAATAATCAAGTTTATATGGCAAAACAAAAAACCCAGGATAGCCAAAACAATCTTATACAATACTTCAAACTCTATTACAGAGCTACAGTATTGAAAACAGCTTGGTATTGGCATAAGAACAGAGAAATCGACCTTTGGAATCGAATAGAAGACCCGGATATTAACCCACAAACCTATGAACACCTAATTTTTGACAAGGGAGCTAAAGGTATACAATGGAAGAAGGAAAGCATCTTTAACAAATGGTGCTGGCATAACTGGATGTCAACCTGTAGAAGGATGAACGTAGATCCATACCTATCACCATGCACAAAACTCAGGTCCAAATGGATTAAAGACATCAACATTAATCCGCCCACTTTGAACCAGATAGAAGAGAAAGTGGGAAGAAGTCTACAAGATATAGGCACAGGAGGCCTCTTCCTAAGTAGAACCCCAGCAGCACAGACAATAAGAGAATCAATGAATAAATGGGATCTACTGAAACTGAGAAGCTTCTGTAAAGCAAAGGACACTGTCAGTAAGACAAAAAGGCTGCCTTCTGACTGGGAGAAGATCTTCACCAACCCCTCATCAGACAAAGGTCTGATCTCCAAAATATACAAAGATCTCAAGAAACTAGACACTAAAACTCTAATTAACCCAATTAAAAAATGGGGTACTGAACTTAACAGAGAATTCACAGCAGATGAGCTTCGAATGGCCAAAAGACACTTAAGGTCATGTTCAACCTCCTTAGCGATCAGGGAAATGCAAATCAAAACCACTTTGAGATACCATCTTACACCTGTCAGAATAGCTAAAGTCAAAAACACCACCAATAGCCTATGCTGGAGAGGATGTTGGGTGAGGGGAACACTCATCCATTGTTGGTGGGAATGCAAACTTGTGCAGCCACTGTGGAAATCAGTGTGGCGGTTTCTCAGCAAACTGGGAGTCAACCTCCCTCAGGACCCAGCAATTCCACTCTTGGGAATATACCCTAGAGATTCCCTAACATACTACAAAAGCATTTGTTCAACTATGTTCATAGCAGCACTATTTGTAATAGCCAGAACCTGGAAACAGCCTAGGTGCCCCTCAATAGAAGAATGGTTAAAAAAGGTGTGGAACATATACACATTAGAGTTTTACTCAGCGGTAAAAAATAATGACATCTTGAATTTTGCATGCAAATAGATGGACATAGAAAACGCTTTACTGAGTGAGGTAAGCCAGACCCAAAAAGAGGAACACGGTATGTATTCACTCATAAGTGGCTTCTAACCATAATTTAAGGTCTTTGAGCCTATTATTCGTGATCCTAGAGAAGCTAAATAAGAAGACGAACCTGATGAAGATTATTTAGCTATCCGCCAGGAGGTAGGAAATAGTCAAGAGTCCCAGGTAACCTTGGGTGCATGGGGGGTGTTGGGGTGGGAGGGTTGTTGGAAGGGGAGAGGGTTAGAGAGAAGGGAGTAGGGGAGGAATGGAGAAAGCTCGGTTGACCGGGATGGGGGAAAGGGAGGAAGGATGAATATGGGATCAGGGAAGAATATATTTCAACTAAGGGAGTCATTTTAGGGTTTACAGGAAACTTGATTATATATGGGATCCCAGGTCCAAGGAGAGATCCCCAGATTGTTCTCTGGACAGAGGAGAGGGTGCCTGAACCGGCCTTGGCCCATAACCATACTGATGAATATTTTGCTTATCACCATAGATCCTTCATCTGGCGATGGATGGCGATACAGAAGGAGACCCACATTGGAGCACCGGACTGAGACCCCCAAGATCCAAATGAGGAGCAGAAGGACGAAGAAAATGACGAAGGACTGCGAGGGATGCTATCACCCACTGATACAAGGGGTCGGATCTAATGAGAGTTTACCAAGGACAGTTGGACTGCAGCTGAACGAGCACGTGATCCAACCAGATTCTCTGAATGTGGCCGGATTCTCTGAATGTGGCTGGCTCGGAGTCTTTCTGAGAAGCCATTGACAATGACACTGGGACTAGTTTCCTCTGCATATACTGGATTTTTGGGATCCAGTCTGTTTGGATACTCACCTTCCTGGACCTGGTGGGAGGGGGGAGGAACTTGAACTTCCCACAGGGCAGGAAACCCTGACTGCCCTTAGGGACAAAGAGGGAGGAGGACGGGGTTGGGGGGAGTGGGAAGGTGTTGGGAAGAGGGGCGTAAATGGAAACTTTTATAATTTAATAAAATTACTTTAAAAAAAAAAGAATCCAAATAATGTATTTCAATTATAAAAGCATCTAATCTGGTCTATACAATTTCCTGTGATTATGACAAATAAACACAAAGAACACACAGAAGAAATTAACAATCAGGAGAGGACAGAGGAATCCACTTTTTTATGTATGGTCATTTTTATATATGGGCACCACTAACAAGGACTTAACATAGAATTATTAATGAATGCAGAAAAATGCAGCATTGAACTTTGACAATGCCTGATTTGGTGATTATCTTAGTTAACTCTGAAATTTCCAAACACAGAGTGATTCTTAGTGGGTAATAATTTATCATAGACATGTAACACATTTTATCTACTCAACAGATTGATTCCCTTTTCCAGTGAATTTTAATCAAGTTATTTATTTTCTTAATATTTGGAGTTTTTAGCTGTTTGTTTATTCTAGATACTAAACCTTGTCAAGGAATAGCTGACAAATATTTCTTTACCAATTTTCTATGCTGCCTAGTCATTTCATTCAGTTTTCTTTCTGTTCAGAAAAAGTTAGCTTACTGAGAGCTATTTGTTGGTATTTTGATGTTATTTCCTGTAACACATGAATTTTATTCACAAAGTCTTCACTTGTGCATTTAAGATGATATATGTTCCTTCTGTTATTTTTTTCTAGCAGTTTCAGAGTAGCATGCCTTATGTTGATGGCCTTTGATCCATTTGTAGCTAACCTCAACTCAATGATAACGGTTAGTGACAGACTTCAATGTCTCCCTATCATAAATAAATCAGTCTTCTGGATGAAAAGTAAACAGCACAATCCTGGATTAAAAGTGGCATTATAAATCAAAGGGACTATAAATAAATTTGTGAAACCTTACACTTGAACTTTAAAACTATACATTTTTTCAGCCATCTATTAAACTTTTGTTAAAACTGATCACATACTAGAATATAAACCTAAGTTCAACACACATAGGGAAATGAAAAGAACAATCACTTTTGTATCTGACCACAATTAAATGAATCCAGAAAACAACAACAATAGAAACTACAGAAAATACAAGAACCGATGGATAGTAAACAACACATTTAAAATGATATATAGGTCATTGATCAAAAAAAGAAGAAGAAATTTTCAAATTATTTTTCGGGATGTCTTAGTTACTCTTCTATTGCTGTGAAGAGACAGCATGATCAACATAATTTATAGAGTTAGACACATGATTACAGTTTTAGAGGATTACTTGGTGATCATCATAGCATGAAGCAGAGAGACATGGTGATGGAACAGTAGATAATAATTTTATACCCTGATACCTAAGCAGTAGACAGAGAAAAAGAGAGAGAGAGAGAGAGAGAGAGAGAGAGAGAGAGAGAGAGAGAGA